TGTCGAAGTGAGTTACCAATGAGCGCTAGATTGATTCAGTTTTGAGGTTTGTGGGGACTTGTTGATTTCAGGATGGTATCCATCATGGACCAACCTCACCTAGGTAACTAGTTCACTAGTTAATAGCCGGTCCTAAGCCTACATAAAGAGGGATGGTTGAGCATAGAGCTAGCAACTCTACCCCGTAAAACCAATCCAATCGCTAAAGAAACTTCAAAGCACATACAAAATATAAAAAATAAGACTAAACATATTCCTCGAAGGAATCGGAGAAACGAAATGACACCGGTTGCTGAAAGCCTTCGAGAAGACAATTGGCCGGTATGTCTTCTCTCGATGAAAGCGAAAGTAAGGATAGGGACATGGAATGTCCTCACAATCTTTGAAGCTGACTGGCTGGCAAGGCTGTCCAGATTACAAAAGAGATGTGGAGGTATAGCGTAGAAGTGCTACGAACCTGAAAGAGCACATGGAATCGAAGTAAACTCTCCAAACTGTCAACTGGAGAGGAGTCAATAATCTAATCCGATATTGTCAACCAGATGACAATCACACGCACACCGAGTTTTGGAGTGGCTATCATGATGAAGGCTCTCATGCATTGAGAATCAATCTCCTCCTGCAGGATCAGCATCATGACAGCAAGATTCAACTCAAAAGGAAGGAAAGTCACGATCATACGATGCTACGCTACGCTACGCACCTACAAATACTGTAGATCAAGAGGAGAAGGAAGAATTCTGTAGACAGCTGCAATCAGTACTGGATAAGACCCCACCTCAGATCGTGACATCAAAATCCATTCCAATTGTTGACATGAATGTGAAACTGAGGGTGGACAACACAGGAAGAGAACCAATCATGGGTCGTGAAGCACTCTGTGAAATGAGGAATGGGAATGGAGAGCTGTTTGCAGACTTCTGCACATTTAATGACTTGGTGATTGGAGGTGGTGTGTACAAACACAAAGATAATCACAAGGCGTTCGACATGGATTTGATTTTATTAGATGGACACATCACACTAAAAATCAGATTGACTTCATTCCAATGTGAAGGAAGTGGAGACGCAACCAGCCTACTGGATACAAGACGAGATCAAGAAGGGGGAGTAGATATAGGTTCACACCACTCAGTGTCTAGTGCAAGGAACCTACCTTCAAATTCAAGTTGAAGGTTTCCAAAGAAGTTGGTGATAGACCATATTTGAAGTTGAACACCCAGAACAGAAAGTGAAGAACGAAACTACAAAGGACATCTTCACGTCGTCAACCGTGAGGACAAATGGGAGACATTAAGCAAGATCGCTGAAGGAGGCTGTCTGGAAGAACACTAGAATTCGTTGAAAGCTATGTGGAAGGAAGCCTGTATAGGTGTGTTGGGTAGGAAGAAGAAGAAGAAGAGTTAAGACGATGAATGTATCCCACGGATACATGGAGGGTGATGAGGATGGTGAATCAGAAAATGGAGCAGTGTAGTGTAGTGCAGGGATGAACGACGAAAAGAGGAACTGAACACAACATATAAAACAGTACACTGGACCAAGAAGTGAAGAAGAGTGTGCGGAAACATAAAATACACTTGTATGACACACTGGCAAGTGAAGCAGAACAGGCTGCAGTTAGGAGAGGCGGGGATTTGACAACATTGTATCAAATAACCAGGTTTTTATCTGGGATGGAAGAGATCAACACGGATGAAACCAATGAGAGATAGTGGAGGAAATGTAGTTAGCAGAGAGGCGAAACAAAGGAAACAGTGAGCTGACCCATTCAGAAAACTATTGAATCGACTACCACCAACTGCAACTCGTCCAGAAATACCACCGGCAGCCCAGTCACTGAAATATCAGTGAACACAAACCTACGGACAAATGCGGAGGTGAAGTCCTGAACGCCATCAAGTTGCTGAAATGCGGGAAAGCAGCAAAACCAGATGGAATCCCGCCGGAAGCAATGAAAATAGACGCATAGTCAACAGCGGACATGCTTACACCACTATTGCAGAAGGTTTGGAAGGAAGGAAAGAAAGGTACCTGCCCATTGATTGGAAGAGGGGCTACCTTGTCAAACTCTCGAAAAAGGACGGCCTAAGTCTTTGCCAGAACTGGCGAGGAATCATGATCCACCATTGTCCACCCCAAGCAAAATATTAAACCGCATCATACTGGAGAGACTAAACGATGCGTTGGATTCAAAATTGCGACAGGAACAGGCTGGCTTCAGGAAGTACAAATCATGTGCAGATCAAATTGCAACACTACACTACGCATCATCATAGAACAGTACAAAATGGCAGTCAACTCAACTCTCTACCTCAACTTCATTGACTTTGAAAAGGCTTTCGATAGCGTCGACCGACAAGTGATTTGGCAACTGCTTCAACACTACGGCCTAAGTGCCACAAACCTTTATCAACCTCATTTAACAACTATATAAAGACGCCATATGCCAAGTGATTCATAATGGAAAGCCCAGTGATGCCTTCGAAGTGAAGACAGGTTCACAGGTAAGACAAGGTTGCCACCTACTATCACCGATCATCTTCCTCGTCGTGGCGGACTGGACTGGATCATGCAGCAGACAACTATGAGGAGCGAGAAGATCGGCATACGCCATTTGACTAATGAAAAGACCCCAAAAGATTTCGATTTCGCCAACAATGATGATCTATGTCTAATGTCTGAGGTCGCACAAACTCGAAGATGTACAGGTGAAAACTAACAGGTTGGCAGAACAGGCAAAGCAACGCAGACTGCATTGCACTTCCTTCAGGTGAATGTAGAGAAGACAGAGGTAATGAAGATACCCAACCAACAACAAAAACAACAACGAGCACCAATCACCATCAACAGGAGAAACCTAAAGGAAGTAGTGCCTTTCACCTACCTAGGCAGCATCGTCTCAAGTATAGGCGGTGGCATAGGCATAGATGAAGATGTCAACACCATGATCGGAAAAACAGCCAAATAGGTCTTCATTAATCTGAGACCAGTGTGGAGATCTACTGAACTGCACTCAGCATAAAGTGTGAACAAGATCTGGATTTTAAACACTACTGTCATTCAAGTCAATGCTTCTATGTGATGGTTGAGAGACTTGATGGCGCGTTACGAAAAGCATTTCCAACAACCTGTAGACATGCATGAACAGCTGCCTCCCACGCTCACTCGATACTGAAGATCAGGCCAGATGAGAAGGTGAGAAAGAATAAGCAAGGAGTAACTTCGGCTGGCTGGCTGGCTGGAGAATAAAGTGGAGATGGATTGGACTGGATAGGACGTATACTGCGAAGACCGTTTGGGGACAACACATGCCAGGCTAGGCCTTTGAGTGGGATTGAAATGGGAAACTATGAGTTGGTCTTTCGAGGTGAGGGTGAGATGGAGGAGATGGTGTGAGGGAGAAATGATAGGTTATGGGCAGTGGTGTGGCGAGGTTAAAAGGACTGGAGAGAAGAGAGTGAAATGGTGACATGCTACTGAAGCCCTTAGTTCCCCTAGGAGCGCAAGGGACAAATATAAAATAAAATTAATCATAGACTGATATTATTTGGAGGAACTTTGGAAACCTGGGAGCACTGGACAGCTGTTTTCTTCCTACTATTGAACTCATCGTGGGGTCTTGAATGCGCTCTATTGGAATGTAACAATCTGCGTTTTAGGCTTTACAGTGAAGCTATTTTCAGTCGATAGAAACTATCGATCGTATGCTCAGGTTGCACTGATCTAGGTAGTGAGAGCTCACTGGAATGGATTAGGTTATAATGTACAGTAAAATTGACGAAATCTGCATAGGAAGCCTTAAATCCTTGAAGCCCATTACAACTGATCGTTTTATTCTGAAGTTTCAGGAAAAAACACGTGACACAAAGCGTAGTTGTAGTAGTTGGTAGCATTACTTGAAGAATACTGAAGGTGAGAAAGACCTGGAAATAGCTGAGGCCAATGTAAATTTTTGTTACCTCTTGTATCTTGCACATATCTGACGTTACAATGCACCTTATGTTAGCTTACCAGTTTTTCTATTTGCGGAAGAACTGAGTGACTATTAACAGTAGAATATATGAAGGTTGTTGTGCAGATAGATGTCCACACTCTTGCACACAAATAAATGTATAACTCAGATTATCATCAAGTAGTCACTACAAGAATATAACAAATGGATTCGGCATTATAATGGATCATATGTTGCATCGTGGAATACGACCATTATAAGAGAAGGGACAAAATATGCTGATCCATGTTCATATATAGATGTCGGAGGGTAAGGATGCAATTCTTTTGGTGAAACTATCACTTTATTCTAATTGAAGTGGTTGGTTGTGTATTTTAATTGGTTGAGCATCATCCCCAATCAGAATACGGCTAGAGGAGTAGAGTGCCTAAATCAGCCCATGTATTAGTAGATAGTGTCATCGAAGAAAGATGGTCTGAAGAGTATAACGAGTCTAGAGTTGACAGAAATAAAGAGATATATGTTTAATGAAAAAGTTTAAAACTTATTTGTAAAACTTGCCAAAACAGTTGTTTAAGATAGCAGCAATCAGATTGGAAATGAGTGTAGAGAAGGTGTAGGAAAGTTTTCCCGAAACTGTAAATCATCAGACAACTGTTATTTTCAGCAACTTTATAGTATCTACGTTGAATGAATGAAATGATCACTTTTATGCATGAAATTCATTCTCTTGTAGAAAAGGATTGAATTGTAATAGTTTTGCCAAGTTTTTGGGTACATTTTATAACAGTTTGCTTTGTGATAAGAATTATATTTTTCATTTGTGTTGCACATATTTCACTACATTTATATGATGTAATCACTGTTGGATCTCTAGAAATAATGATTTTTTATAAGAGTTTTCACATGGTTAGAAACTGAGTCCAGAAGTTTAATCACCACTTGTCTGGATGCTGTTTATTCACATACTTTTTGTCTCAGTTATACCTGTCCACCCCCTACACTAATTGTAGCTGTATATCTTATCTTTATTCAACTTTTTCAGGGAAAGTTAACACGTTCTACAACATTTTCAGGTGACAATGAAGCTGCTCGTAACATTCAGGTATGTATAAATTGGTAAACACATTAGGGTATGGTGTTTACGTTTCTGATGAAGTATGTTTCTCTTTCTCTCACTAATAATAAGTTTGATTTCAAAGATGATTTTCACAATCTGTCATTAGCCGGATAATACTTGGTAGTACTGGGAAACTATTTTTCCCCTCCTAGTTTGTTAGTCTTCACAATAATGTACCCCATGACCATCTAGTCTCTCTCAGCGACTCGATTGGAGTTCATGGGTCCACTTTTGTTTACTCTCATCAATTTATCGTATAGTGTAGTCATCGATGAGCATTTATTCTCACACTTCACGTTACTGATCTTATAGGTTATGACTTCTCATTAGGATTTTGATAAATCCATTACTATGCAAATGAGTAATGATAGTCGAATTGTTGTTCACTTTCAAAGTTTGTGGGAGAGTTGATTTTTTGTTTTATTAGTATTTGTCCCAGTGGAACATAAGGCTTCAGTAGTAGTATTTCATACTACTCATCAATGAAAGACACCAGCGATAAAGAGAAGAGTATTATAGAGGAAGAAAGTAACAAAAGTCTAGTTATTTAATAACAGTTGATGTTTGATTAAGTAATGACATGTAGAATCATTTAAGTACAACTAAAGCGGGTTAGTTTTAGCGTGGTAGGTCTCACCTGTATCCGCTTACAGCTATCACAGTATATCGTGTACATATGTATCAGCTTATAACTGGTTATGACGCATAAGTTGCTTTTAAAAATCTTCCTATTTAATAATAGTACTGGTTCATTATAAATGTAAGCTACTGACAATTCTTTTTTCACTAAGTAGTATGGTGATTAATTCAGTACTGCTTTGTATAGCCAGCTTGTTACCATTAGCCTAGCTAAAAGAATATATACAATTTGCCTAAAAAGTAATAGTAGTAGTATTCTATGTATTACTTTACAAACACTGAACTTCATACGACTAGAGAAACAGTAAGGCATTGGAGAAGAAATAGATGTTATGCATTACTGCTTAACAGTCCAAGTTGCCGCCATACCTCATATCAATACATCAAGTAAAAAGGTAGCCAAGTGGAAGATATAGAAAAGAAAACTTAGTCAAAAGAAATATAAAGTAGTCAAAGAGACAAAGGAAGAATGAGAAAGTGATGAGATTCAGTATAGCATCGTTAACATAAGGATAATATAGTATATGTATACATCTGCGCTAGTGACATCGGTTCTGAGACATGCGATCACCTATTAGTTCCTCTAATCCCACGGAGAATATCTACTTTGACGATAACCCTTATCATTCTTTCTTCTATTTTTCACACTACAAAAGGTGTTATCATTATTGATGATGATGATAATGCATTCATTGTCTATCAGTTTTCTCGGTATGTAGAAACACGTGGCTTAGGCAGGTAACTTTCAACTAATGAGTCATGGGTTCGAACCTCGCTCCACTTACTCAGTTGGAGGTGTGTGATTCACTATGTGTTGACCTCCTGTTAGGTTGCTGGAGTGCAACCAAGTTTATATTGTTTTGTATCATTAGTGTTGACCGAATTCTGCTAATTATTATTAGAATGGAATAGCTTTTTTCTTTTCTTTCTTACTTATAGGCAACTAGTACAAATTTATTGAATGAGAGTAATCCAATAGGTGATAATAATGATATCCTTTTATCAATGAATTCATCATTCCATAGTGATTATAAAAATAATGGTGATACAAAGTTATTGGTCTTCAAGATGATCAAGACTGTACACAATTGGATAATTTATTTGATGAAGAGGTGGAGATGCTTTCAGAGAGAGATGATAGAAAAAATTGAAATTTTATGGTAATTCTTTTTCGTTTCTTGATGAGAAAAAAACATTTTCCAATGAATATATAATATTTCCGGTTAATATATTATCTCCTTTTTGTGTATATGTGGTGTATATTATACATATCAACAACAATAGGTGGGGAATATACCTGAACATGTTTTTCATGTATACCCTTCTTTTGTAATAACAGCGTTACAGCTGCATATCGTTCAATACTCAGCCTTTGAAATTAGTTGTTGACTGTGATTCTTTATTCTGTGATAAATACTGATGAGCACCTTCTTTCTTTTTTCGCATCAATGTATTCTGATTTTTTCGAAAGGAAGGTTCAATGTTTTTGTTAGTGTTAAGCCTATTTTTGAGCTTGTTTTTTGTGGATCTCAATAAAGAGCATCTACGGCATCTCAACTGATCGATCCAAACACCTATGAGTTGTCTTATGGGAAGCGAGCCTATATCGAAGACAGCATTCAATGTTATCAGTCACCAAGGTAGAAATTTTAGATTTCAACATTGTTTCATGTTACAGTGTGGACAGGAAAAAACCTTATTGAACAACTTTTTCCTCCAGCTGACCAATGAAAATAACCATCTAACCTCCGACCTCTTGGCTTCATTTTCTAAGGGAAAACTGTCTACAAATGATGTGTTTTTTGTCAAGTGACGTCGTCTTCCTTACAAATATAGGCCGCTTTCTGTCTTCTGATTTTCGCGGCTCAGTGAAGAACAGTCACTACTCGCATTCAGTTCAAGTATCCTATTGATTTATTATCCTTTCGCAGATTTCGTATTAACCACTCAGTCAGGCCATCGCCTATTTAGCTGCTTAGTCATTAGTACTTAGTACTGATAGAAGTTTATCGATCACGTTATTCTATGTACCACGTAGAGAAGTTAGGCAGCATTACGGCAAACTGATTGAAATGAATCAACAGAACACCCTGACTCTAGATTACGTGCTTAATGGCACAGATATGGAAGGCCTGTCTGTAAGACTTGAGAAAACCACTATTACCCATGAATCGATTGGATATACACTTAAAACGTCCAGATAGAAATCATTGTTACTTACCACGAGACATCAGTGTTCGGATCTCAATAAAGAGCATCTATGGTGTGTGTGTGTGGGCATGGAAGTGCAGAGTCGAAAGACTTAAAATTCAATCCATGGCAGAGAAACAGCGTCATTATCGTCTTTGTCCCAACATTTACATATAGATGATAAGTAGGATTGGAGAGTGACACATCACAACTCTTCTGCAGAGAATTCCGGTAACTCTGTTTGACTGATGAAGTACAAACCTGAGATAGTTTTGTTCAAGAACATTGAGTATGGATATGAAATGTATAAGGCACCAAGAAAATGTGAAATCTGATTGTTCACATAGAGAAAGTGGTAAATCAAAGGCATCCGCTTGTTGACCATCGGGAGAGTGTTCATTAAGAGTTTGCACAGTGTATCATTTCAAGTCAATGAAGCTTGTTGCTACAATGATTTTCCTACATTGAATTCCCAAATGACCTTTAACTATGACATATTCATGAGTTGCAGAAGAAGTAATTGTTTATGTGTAAATTGAACACAAGCCCATCTTCAGTTTGATATATTGTCAGGCAATAGGATGATTAGTTAGTCGACTGTGCATACTAACTATGAGGTAATCGAAAGTGAATGACTGGAAGTAATTGCAAAGCCTTAACCGTATGAATGATTTCTGAGTGTAATTGGGCATCAGAAGTATATTTTGACGAAGTAGAGGCATGCCATACTGACTTCTGTGTTCTTGTATATAGCAGACTGTACATAGTGGAAAAGAACTGTGGTGAGTGCTTGTGGATATAACCAGTGAATGTATTTCCTGTCGTACATGGAGCAAATATTCATGAATTCTGAATACTGATCTAGTAATTCGCGTCAATGTATTCTGATTCTTTTGAAAGGAAGTTTCAATGTTTGTGTTTTTGTCAGTGTTAAGCGATGGATTAGTGTACATGCCTATTTGAGCGTGTTTTTTGTGTTTTTGTGATCATAATCTTGATAACAAATTCTTCAATAGGCATCACAATGTTTACATTGGATGCAATGAGTGAGTAGCTGATGTCTTTATTATTTCATTGAGTATTTGAGATGAGTCGATAAATGGCGTAGTAATTTGTTTTTGTCAAGTTATTGACTGAATCAGTTTTGCAACAGAAAATAACAGTTTATCAATTACCTACATACTGAAGAAACCAAGAATACATTGGGTTGTGCGGCTGAGATTAGCCTTAAGTGTTGTCTTAGATTCGTAGTGACAGCATGTTCTCCTCTGAACCTTTCCTGTCTTAATGAGCTAGACTCATGGGTGTGTGTATGTGCTTTGTACCATCGAAATGCGAAATTGGCAGAAACCTGTGCCTGCGCTGACCTTTGGTGGGAATGAGCTGTTGGAAGTAATCGAAAAGTTGTGCGTGTATCTCGATAGTTGTGTAAGTGATGAAATTTTCAATTGTATATAGAAATCCAGAGTGGTATATTTTAATATGGGCCACTTTAGCTGCCGTCGCTACATTAGTCTGACGTGAAAGGTCGGGTTTACACGGGTACGATGCGAGCAGTTCTTCTATACGCCTGTGAAACCTGACCTCTCTGAGCTGAGGATGCGCGACGACTCTGTGCGTTCAATCATCGTTGTCTTCGTAGGATTGCTCGTATCCGATGGCATAATCGTGTAACTATTTATGAGGTACGGCAGCGTGTATTTGCGCATGATGGAGATCATCATTCACTAAGTGAATTCATCTGCAAGCACCGACTTCGGTGGCTTGAACATTTGTTACACATGTCATCCCAACGGCTTCCATACCGTTCATTGTTTGCTAACCATGTGACTGGATGGAAGAAGCGGATGGTTGCTAAATGGATAACGTAACGTGGCGCCATTGGATGAAGGATAGTTGTATGGGGTTAGTATCTGTTGGTGCATAACGACTCCCTGGTTAGGGTCGGAGGGATCATGCAACTCAGTGAGTTGAGACATTATGAGATATGGCTGAGACTGAAAACCAGTGATGGTCATGCTGTAGCTTCCTTCTATATCTTCTTGTGCTTTAACGCAATGAATGTTTCGTTTGGGATGTATCTTACTAAACTGCCTTTCCTTCTTACTTACCCACTTCCTTTCGCTTTATGTCTTCATAATGTTATATTATTTTGTGTGGTGCATTTGTTGGTGCCTTTGCTATACCATGTTTGTGTTCTAGTAATAATAGTTATAGAATAAGTGATAGTAATAATAATACTGGGTAATGATTGATGGTGAGATGAAGATTTGGATCGCTGCCGGTGGTCGGCTTGTTCAAATCCGGCTGCGGTCCAAATCTTCATCTCACCTTCAATCATTACTTAGCATAAATAATAGTCTGACAAACCACGGCAATCTCAGTTAGTCATAATAATAATAACACCCTGCTGAAGTATTCTGTGAAGTGAATATCCGTGAGATAACAACATATGAGAAGAGAAACCATTGCTTGAGCATTTATTCACTTTATATTAGACTTTCAGATATGTTTCATAGGTTATTCGCGGTGTTCCTCGTCATCATTACGTTCCCTCGTCTCTTGCAGTTGTACCTGTTATTCGAACTGAAGGGGGCTTCATTAAGATATATGATAAGTATTTGAGGCAAACAATTGCTGGGAAAGTTTACAGTTTAGTGATTCATTGTGATTCAAATCTCTGGCCGGTATTACACAACTTTCTTAGTTGCTTTCACGAATTTTTGTCTCCATGGTGTTTACTGTATACAAAATGATAGTTTACGTGATAGTAACGTATGTAATGAATTTTTGAGATGGGTGGGGATTTTTACTTTAGAAGTAGTATTCATCATGGACTGACACCAGTTGGGGAACCATTGAAAATCTGGAAGCACTGGACAGCTGTTTCGCCCAACTAGTATGGGACTCCTCAGCAGTACGCACCCAGATGGATATCAGGAAGCTCTAATGAGAAGCTGTGACCTGTGGGGTCAACCATTTGGAAGTGAAGTGGATGCTGACTGAAGACCTTGGGTGATAGTCGTGCTGTGTCGTGAATTGACAGAAGTTGGAAATTGTGAACCACTGGAAACCGACCCATCGGCTGAATGGTTAACGCGTTTGCCGTGGAACCTGAAGGTCCTGAGTTCGACACCTAGTGGGGTCGTGGGTGCGTACTGGTGAGCAGTCTCATACTAGGACGAAACAGCTGTGCAGTGCTCCCATATTTTCAATGGTTCCCCAACTGATATCAGTCCATGATGAATACTACTTCTAGAGTAATGTATTTTTTTTTACATTTCCGTAGCCACTTGACAGATTTTCAAGCCTACTATTTCTTCTATGTAACTCAGTTGCTAATGTGAAAATTAATTCTTAGTATCTGTAGCAATCTGTATGATCACGAAAAGAGAAGTTGACTGTTCTCTTGAAAAGTATATTGAGTACTGTCTTGGCTTCAGGATGCCAAGTGTGAACCAGCACCAGGAATTTATTCCTAGTCTGAAATGTTTATATTTACAATGAAGTGGAAATTATAAGTGACTTTATGGAAGCAGTTTTGGATCCACTGATATGCAGAAATCGTTTTCGACTCTATTATATTACTGATCGATTATGATCCTGTCGTTAGTAGGTTCAATAATCAATGCGCTACTGTAACGCAATAGACTAGAGGATACAGAGGTGGATAGAATTTAGTGAGAGTTACTAAAACGTCAGTCATAAAGGAGAAAACAAGATGGTTATGATGATTATTTGATGATATTTCCCCTGTCGTTTACATACAGAGTCGAGTTCATCAGTTTGCATTGGTGTATGGGTTCTTTATACGCACGTCTTTATCTTACCCACAATTGAATTTTGGTTATGTTGTATTTAGGAGTGAGTAGTACTGGAGTCTAAAACATGAGAATTTTCCTATTTTGAAAGTTTTTGGTAGATGTGTCTTCTCCTCAAAAACAACAGGTTGTAATATCAGACTGTACTCGTTGCACAATTGGTGATTATTGTAAATTAATAATCTAATGGATAGATGCTGGGTTCGATTCACAGGTAGAACACCATACACATCTCACTAGTTTATAGATACCACCAGCTTAGTAGACTAAGTTAGGACAAAATACTCATTCTGGCTTCTATTGCTAGCCCCCTCTCTCCATTGAACAAAGGAGTTAAAGTGAATAGCGAAATTTGACACGATGATCCGGTGACCATAAGGTGTGTGTGTGTGTGTGTGTACTTTTGTATCAGTATGATGCACTTGGTGTATTTAAATGAAGCCGACAAAACTATTCAATCAGATGAGTTTACTTTATAGAAAAAAACTTGTCAGATGTCGGGAATCGTAAAATTATTCATGAGAAAATTAAAGTTATCTATTCTGGATTCGTATTGAATGCGATGGCCAGTGTATGTGAACTAAACGTCGTGACTGAAATAAGTCTAATATGAAGATTCCACTTACCATGATATCCTGATTTTGAGTTACGAGCATTTTGTGGTCATTTCAAGATAAAGTGACAGCAACTTGAACAAACTATTATGACACTATTAGTCTCACAAAAAATCGATTGTAAGTCGACTAGCAACAGCTTTCTTCGTCTCCATCTGAGCGTACTGGTTGATGAGTAGCTGGCAAGACAGGTACATTAGAAGAATAGAAAATAGAGCCTACTTCAGATTTTCTAAACATGTTTTGAAGACCTCATGACTCAACATGAACAGCTATTTCAACATCGCAATCTCATATCATCTAATTGACTCAAGTGGACATGTTGAAGTGTTTAAAGATAATTGAAGAACAAACAAAGTAGTGCAAGTTTCCTATGGTTAACTGTAGCAATAGTCATCAAATGTATGAAACTTTATTTATGTGTTCAACAAGAAGTTGTCATCAGTCTAGTGTTTACTTGATAAAGCGGTTCCAAACTTTCACTTCTACTGATTTTCACAATTCTTTTGTTAAATGTACTCAGTTTGCATAAAACACTGTTTATTGATCTGAACATTTTTAATTCGTCATTTCCACATTAGTTTTACAGCATGACTAGTAGTATTTTATTTTCTGCCCCCATTTTCAAGGTAGTTCGCTGATTGGTTAGTCCTTACTCTTTTTTTGAATGCCTCAATTTGTGGACAAGGTCATATTTCATGTGTACACATACTCACATGTTTTTGGATTTGTTAATTGAATATAAACTCTATCATCATTCAGCTTCGGTCTTCTCTATTCGTCCCGGGTCGCAGTCGGTGGCCCGATGAATTCAGTTGGGATCAGTATATTTTACACAATCTATTTTTGCAATCTATCTATCTATCTACTGTCGCAATTTCGCAATCTTATATTCTAATTCTCACGATGGTTTGTTCTCTTTCTTTTAATTTTGGAGAATTTTCCATTATATAATTTTTATAAACATGACACATTGTTGTACCGCCTTAACTATCTTCGGATTTCAATTAGATGGTTGGTATAGATTTACTGATCGCTGATTGACAACAATGAAAGAAACCTTGAGAACTTGGTAGCACTGAACAGCTGTTCTGTTCTAGGATAGAAGTGTCCAGTAGTGTGCAGCCATGACCGCACCGGAGGTCGAACTCGGCACCAAGTGTGGTAGTGACTGCGTTACCCTTGAGTTATTAGGTTAAAATCCAATATTCTGTATTCTCCTACTTTTGTCAATTCGCGATATGGTGCAAAATTTACCGAATGTCGTCATGGAGCGTTTCTAATGGTTCTGCAATTGGTGTCGCTCAGTGATGAATATAAACGTTTATTCAAGTTTCTTATTCCTTACTAAACTAGGTAAGTCTTTTTATGATCTACTAACTGACTGAATGCTCATCTCTATGATCTATAAAGTGCAGTAAACTACCCTGACGATTATTTATTTACTTCTGATAATCCAAATTGTAAGCGACTGAAGAGAAGCTGACAAAATAAAATGACGACATGTTGCTCTGGTTGCTCCTCTCAACTTATCTGGGACTTTATTATTCATTAAATGATACATCTAACAAGAAGAAACCATTTCTATGTATTGATTGGTCATGGGAGTGCAAACGATTTCATGTTGTCTAGTCCTGAGTGCAGACCTAATTCTATCGATCATATTTGCAATGTGGCAAGCAAGCTAGGAAGCTGAGTATTGCGGTGCACATTAGTAGACATTAGTTGGTTGGAGGCAATCGGCAGGAAGCCCTGCTTGACCTAGGTTTCGTGCTTTTTGGCACTCATCAGCAAGGCGTATCTGCAACATCAACATAACTGATATCCCGCCTGAGATCCGAACCCTCGTCAGCTATTCGGGCCGCGATTGACCTCCTGTAGGACTGGCTGATCGATAGAATTGGGTCTGCACTCAGGACTAGGCAACACGAATGACTAATCAATACAGTAAGCCAATCCTACAGGAGGTCAGTCGTGGCCCGAATAGTTCGGTGGTAAAGGTCCTGACTACAACACTAGGTGGTGCGGGATCGAATCTCAGGTGGGACATCAGTCCCGTCGAGGTTGTAGATATGCCTTGCTGACGAGTGCAGAAGAGCACGAAACCTAGGTCAAGCAGGGCTTCCTGCCGATTGCCTCCGACCAACTAACGGGGACCATTTCTAGTAATTTATTTGGGAAATTAGTATAATCTTCATAGCTGGAGATGTGGTCCATTGTTTCAGTGATTAAATATTACACAAGAGGTGGATATCCTGCCCCAGTGGCATAGTGGGCAACGTTATGAGGTTTTAAGCCATGAGTCACTGGGGTGCAGGTACATCCAGCTGACGAATGAGTTCCAAATAGGACAAAATGTGCGTCCTTAATTCCTCTGCTAATCACCAAGATAGAGATATTGCACACATTTGACGGCCGCTTCTGGCGGTGCTCTATATCTGAATTAGGGATAGAGAGGAAAGACTAGTCAGGAGATGGACCAATCAAAATGTAGTGTATATTATGACATCTGCAGTTAGAGAGATAGATAGACAGACAGACAGATAGACAATGGGCCAGCCAATCGATGACGAAATATCTATGTATTAGTTATATTTTCCTTTGTTGGTCTTCGGTCTTTCGACCCACCTCAAAGTAAACAGTTGCATTTAGGTGAGGTGAGTGGAAAATAAAGCTAGGAAGCTGTCATTACCTGGACGGGCAGAAAAACGCTACAACTGCACAACCTGGCTGAAGTAGCTTACGATGATATTCATGAAAGCAGTACCAACTTTCTCATTAGACTGTATTTACGATGACATTCAGAATTAGCTTGACAGCCCTACTCATTGAATCTGTAGCTCGAACAGCAGTGAATATTGCACAATCTGATGCCCAAATACTCATCATCGTATCCTAGAATGATCTGAAAAGGAATGATGACCCGGAAGTCAGAGTAGTTTGCCTATTGACAGTGTTACCATCAGAGAAGACTTCAACAACTAAAATCAGATGAGTACACCGAAAAAATGAAACATGCTAAATCTATGTTACACTGCCAGGCTTCACTTTTCAAGTATACTGAGATTGAAATGAAACTTCAAAATTAAACTTGTTGAAAAATTTGCGACAGGTCTGTGTTAGCCAAGTGAATAAACATAGTGTTCAAAATTTCAAGTTTATTTTCACGCTAGCAGTTCATTTGATGCCTGAAAACCATTTTGCCTACTGAAACCAAGTAAAGTAGTATAGTGTCTTATGCAAAATTTATTCTGTGCATATCTTGATAATTCAGCTCGGTTAAAAATGCTTATCACAAAATGATTCTTACTTATGGGCTCCAGATTATCGGCCAGAGATTAGTTTACTTGCTGAGCAATGCTAATTGAGACATTCTAAACTGTTAGTTACTTGAAGAGAATAACAATTCCCACTGTGACATCAAAATCGAGAAATTCGACGAAGAGGACTGTTTCCGACTAATTCATTCTCTAGCTGTTTATTCATTCGTATGCATTTGATATTTCCCGACTACGATTCATCAGGAGATTTGAAGTGTAATCATGAATGACAGAAATACAAATAATTGTGGTTATGGATATGATAGTATTGCGAGTGGATGACGGAGGTTGAAATATAACAGAAATGAGGTTATCGTTTTGATTATCTGAGATAGCTGTGGTTTGCCAGACTAGTATTTATAGTAGGTGATGTTTGAAGGCGGGGTTCGAACCAGCGACTACCGAGTTTCTGGCTCGATGTTGTACCAACTAAGCTGTGGGGTCCGACTACTGAACAGATGTTTACTTCACTTCAACCACCAAGGGTTTTGCTCAACCACCATGTAAATTGGTGACGCGTTGCTACCTCTTGATTGTATTGATACTAGCTGCTCACAGTCAGGACTTCTCATTCGAATCCCAATCAAACTGAATTAGAGGGGGTAAGGGAGCATCATACTGATTATTATTTTGACTATCTGAGGTAGCTGTGGTTTGGCATACTAGTACCTCAGTAGGTAGAGCATCGAACTGGAAACTCGGTGGTCGGTGGTTTGAACCCCGTCGTGGTCCAAGTTTTCATTTCACCTTCAGTCATCGCTCAGTAGTAGTGAGGTTACTTCATTTAAGTCTATTTATTAGAAATGCCACAGAATGAAATACTACTATTTACTGGATAACATTTCAGATATAATTTACTGTTCATAGGATACAAATGAGTGAACAGTTGCTCAAGCTAATATATGAGCAGGGAATCAGACAATATGAAGTGGAGAAGTTAATTGTGATATTATGGATCCTTGTTCTTGTTGAATGGGTCATTTTGAATGGTCAGGATCAATCAATTCCTTTCACCTTTACAAAAAAGAAAGGCTGAGATATGCTCTAGAGTACATGTTAACAGCAATCTCTGATTGCAGCTACTTTACGTTGTTCTATAGAATGAGGTGAACTGGTCTGAGGATTGTGTTTCATACAATCAGAGAACAATCTTAAAACTGGTGAAGGTCAGTTGAAGTTTCGCTGGTGGATCTAGAAAAACAATTTTTAAGAACGCGTGATGCTGCATTACGTCTAAATTCCGAATTTATGAGTAAAATTATTTTAGAAACGTTATAATGATTAGTTTCTCACAAATTCTTACCAACGTATCCATTGAAGTGAGATGGTTTTTAGCAAACACACTTATAAAGAAATAATGTTCATCTTCAACATAATCTATGCTACTGATATCCTGTATTTGATTTTAAAGCGCGTGAATGAAGGTTCCTTATTTCATGATTCGCAAACAACCAGTGGATTTTAGTAAGCTGTCTATTCCACGCCAACTTTCTGAGGATATAACTTTCTAGTTTCCGATTGCTGCGTTTCTTGAGAATACAGGTAACCGAGATTCTGATTCCTTCTCCATTAACAAACTACAACACTGAATCACAATTTTCGAAACTAGATCGACGTTTCTATCGCAAATCACATGAATTGTCGAAGCATATTTTGCAGCTTTAGAAGAGAATAATAGTTTCACTGAGGTCAAAGAGTTGCTGTTTGAATATAAAAAAAACCTTATAACTTGTCACAAAGATGTGTTTGGGGATCGAATTTACCGAACTTCCCCGACCACGGTTTATCAGTTCCGGTGATACGATTTGCTTTCGAAGCCACATCAGACTGTATTCTAAGGTCTCTATTTGCATGGATCTGTGTGTCTCCTTTGTATAGGTATCACCAGAGGTACATTTATATAAGTAGATACAGAGGGATACGACACTATAGTTAGGTATAGGAAGATTATACAGTCTTCATGGCTGAAGTTAAACGAAGAGGTAAGCAATCTGTATTCACTTTAGCAAACCCTGAAAATGTGGATTAACACTACCAGAAGGGCGAAGTTGATCGTAGATATTACTACCAATGATTGATTCCTTTTTCAGTCTCTTCAGTAATTTAAATAGTTGCCTTTTACTGCTTGTTCAGTTGTCTTTCTGATTCATTAGCTTTGAGAATTTCTTTTCATTTGACAAAATAAGTAAAGTTTTGTCAATGAAGTTGAACTTATTCAGAAATGTTCTCTTAACTCTCTTATCTGAGTGGATCCTGATGAGAATTTCACTTTTCCTAAGTTCATTTAAGTGATCATGATGATATTATTTATGGCAATGTGTTGGTTCTTCGGTTTAGTATTGAGGTACTTATACGCAGTTGATTTAAAATTATGTAAATCAATACTGGAATTAGATATCTTGTTTCAATAAACAAATTCTCAAACTCAAGGTAAGTACCAAGTTCATGAGCAGAAGGACTGTGTCTCTTGTGCAACCTAATTCAATCTAGATATTGACCTACTACGTGTAAAAACTTATGTTGTGCATGTATTACTTACTTCAGATTTAATAGCGAAATTTACACATGAATTGATGGTGTAACAATAGAATCACCAATCAGATATTTACTTGGTGAGAACGGTACATTGCTCCCAACAGTCGATCCATTTCTTGTATATAAAAGAT